CAATATTTAAAGCCAGATTAGTCAAATAGCTGTCAAGATTGGTTTAGGTATCATTTCTTGCTTTAGGCCAGACAAAGAACCTCTCCAAGCCCCTTACAGCTCTAGTTCTATAAGCCTTTAACCTGGTTAATAGCATAGTTTGGGAAACAAAATGGGTGCAGAGCACATGCTAAAGCCACTTTCTCCCACCTGAACAGAATAATTCAGGAAGAGGCCTAGACCTCAGCAAATGTTTGACTCTCCAGATCTCTGAGAATGCCTGCTCCTGTCCTTTCCAGTGAAGTTTTCAGTTCCTAGATAAACATAGAGATAACCTAGGGACAAACACAAGCAGTGCAGTGCACTCTCATTTATGAAAAAGTAATGTTTACCTTTTCTAGCAAAACATTTATACACCCAGTGAGGCACCGGGTCAGCCATAGGATTCCTGCAGCCCGTGACTAACAATTTGTGCTGAGATAGTGACATTTAATCAGTAAGATACGGTTACTCTTAAAGACAAACATCTCCTGTTCGGGGCACAAAAGCTGAAGGTGATGTTATTGAAAAAATATCCCAAACCACCAATAAATTGCTCCTTACATATAGATATGGGGGATTTCTAGAAAACAGGGTGGGGGACATGACTGGTCTTAAATCAGTTGTATAGACCAGATGATCAGCTCACTTACAAAGCCAACATCCAAAGCATACTCACTCCTGTGCTAAGAGCTGATTTCAGTATACAATGGTCTCCTTAACACAGGAGATGAATGCAAACGGTTCAAAACCACCCAGAACAGCTATTTCTTATAACTAAGCTTACTATAAGAACCTATTGCAGCATGAAAAACAGTGGAACGTGGGTGACTCACACCTGCAGGTTTTCTCAGGAATCTGTGTCAGTCTTGTAGAAATAAACCTTCTTAAAAGAATCACTTAAATTGTTTGCAAAGTATGTGTGCAAAAAGAGCAGGACAGTGGAAATGTATGTCCAGACAGGTACAAGAGTCACTAGATGATGTTCTACTTACCTACAGCACAGACTTATGATTAACATGGGTCCCTTCTGTAGGTATGTCTTACACATGCTTATTTTATTGAATGCTTTGAATAAAGATCCAAACTGTAGAATAATGCTTGATGTTTGCATAGCAGATGATCTCAAGTGAGCTACAAATGTAAGTTTAAAAGTACAGAGGTCAGCACAGGAGAGAATGGGAGAATTCAAGGTCACACAAGAAAGTTCACAACTGCAACAAGATTAACATCCCTCCAACTCTGGTATGTTAAACATAAATCCATTCTTCATCTCAAGAGTCTGCTACAGAGAAAATTATAGATCTGTAGTAAAACTGTAAAAGCAGCCTACACACAAGATGAAAAGTGGGGCTGCTAAAATTACTTTCAGATCATAACAGAAACTAATATCTAGGAAATAAGTATTAAGCATGACAACAGGCATATTCACAATGACTGCAGCAATCACTAGACCATCAAAATAGACTGCAGGAAAAAATTTGAGGCCACCAACAATCAGCTAAAGGAGGAACTTACCATGCTTTCATGTATGCTCACTTCAAAAATGCTTTAAACACATAAACACATTTATGTCATCAGGAAAAATTTTCTCCATCCACATTTCAATGTATTTTAGTTCAGTAAAGTTCACTGAAAAAGAAGAATCAACTTACTTGGGTTATTCATGTGCTCAAGAGAAAGAGTCTCTTCAAGTACAGGATTCTTGGTTCTCTTCCCACTTTTGCCATATCCATTTGGTGTGGCTTCAGGCAAAATATACTCTGCCTCTAAAATAGAGATGGTAACATGTAATGATACCGACCTTGTTCTTGACCCTTATGCAGTCACACTGTAAATTCTTCAGAGAAGTAGGACTGGTTTCTCACAAAACGTTTTACAGTGCCTAGAACAAGACTGCTAGCAGCTTCAGCTGTAAAAATCAGCAGTTTTGACAATCTGATTCCAAATCTGTATTCCCTTTCAGTTTGTCAGACTTCACTTTCAATGTACATAGGATTTCATGTTAACCTGGTTCACTGGTTGTCCATGGAAATCAAAACCAAAAAAATATTCTTTACTATAGCTCATGAAATGGAAAATGTGTCAATCTTCCCAAACCCAACACGCTTCCTTTGTGGAATGAGGGTGCGAGTAAGATTTGTTCAGCATGACCTTTAGAGATTAGCATTCTTAGAACACTTTCTAAAACAAGGGAAACTTTAGTTGTCAGGGAAGGTGCTGAAAATGTGACATTCTTCAGTGCAGGGCCTTCTCACAAAGACAACATGCTGATACTGTCAGAGCAAAGCAGCTGCAGAAATGGTACTACAGTCTCCCTCCTGCAAGTGATTTAAAAGGTGACTGGTTGCAGCTTAATTGTTATCAATAAGACAAGAAAGAGTAGAAATTCAAGAAGACACCTCACAGGTGCTTTTAACTCTCCTAGTTCTGTGGTTCCTTTTAATTCTTCCCATATTTGAGCCAAAGAACCTGAGCTGTTCTCAGATAATTTATTTTCAGGACCTTCTGTATCCATGACCAAATGGTGGAAATCAGTTAAAATGCTCCATTAGAGGTTTGCAAGTGTTCTGAAAAGGATACCTCATAAAACAGCAGTGACACAGGGTGGGAGGGAATTCAGTGATACTTTCAAAAGGCAGGTCAAAAACACTATCTAGGAAAAAAGATTTAAGATCTCAGCAAACCTCTATCCCAGCACCCATGCATGTCTCCCTCACGATCTTGCCACCACCTTTGTTACCTCTCATGTGTCAGCCCTTGTATTCTGCTGGTGCTCAGCTCTCCTTAAGTTGAGCTCTGTGATGCTGCATTAGCCGCAGCAGCTGCTTCTTCACCCCAATGCCTGAAGCGATCAGTGCCAATAAAAATCTAAACCAGAGGAAGTGAAACAAAACTCAAGAAAAGGCTTCAAATAAAAGGAGTGATGATTTCCTGCAACATTCAAGTGACTTAAAAAATAAAGCACCTGGGAGGCAAACAGAGAATGAATGGAATGAAAAGGAATTGATGGAAAGCTGAAGAGGAGCCTAATCATTCAGGAAAGGTGTGTGATGGATGTTTCCACATGCTTTTTAGGTAGTCAAGGAAAGAGTTTTTATCTGTCTGATGAATAAGGCTGTTCACTCACTGAACTTCAGTCTCAAAGTTGCCAGGTTAATGATACTCTGATTTCTGCTGGTCTCTGATTGCAATGAGTACTTTTTATGGGATGGAGTCATGCATTTTCCCCAGCTCCAGTCAGGAGCTACTAACTTTACCAACTCTCATTACCTAAGCATGCTGGTTACATTATTAGTTAGTTACCTGCAACTCTGCTTATTCAGGTCATTCAGTGGTAACAGATCATTCTCAAAAGTATTTGTTTGTAACTGGAATACTTCAGAGAAAACTGGATCCTAAAAGCACAATTTGCTTAGGACTGATGCCTTAAGGATCATTTACTTTTTTAGAGAAGCACCTTCGATTCATCACTATGGTATCTGAGTGCCTCCTGAACACACACTAAGTTTCATTCTACCACCAGGAACCCCCTTTGGCATGTAAGCAGCTGTTCCAGTGCTGGGGTTTCTGTGAGCCTAAGTCAAGATCGGTTTATATGTGACAGAATTTATAGGGCCTATTACGTTAATGTTTTGAGAAAATAACATTATTTAATGCTACTCTTCCCACTCCTTGCTGTAGCAGTTAGGTGGAAAAAGATGATTGATGCCTGGGATTCAGAGCAAGGATAATGATAAATAATGCAAGAAATGTAACTCACCATTGAGTTAGATTAGTGGTTTTATCTTTCATTTATCAGGACTCCTACAGAAATGTTCCTTCACTTTTTGGTTATAATTATGCTGGGCAATATCTTCACCAGGTAGGCTGTACAGAAGTGCAATTGCAATTTTGTGAAAGAACGAGAGTTACTCTGTTAGATTTATGCTTTGACACACAGGTGTAGAGCAAAGTGTGTGTGCTTGTCTAAGTATGTATCTAAATGTGTGTATACGTACATACAGGAACATACGTAAATGCATGAAACATTAATTGGATGTTTTTCATCTGTTCCTATTTGAAAAGTATATTGATGATACATACTTTTCTGTGAGGAATCTAAAGAAAAAGATTTTGCTCTTTATAACAAAACAAATTCAACAAGATAGGCTATCTCAATTTTAATCAAAATAAAGTCGAATTTATTTTCTTGCCAACTCAAGTTGCAAAACTGTAAAGCTCCAGACCTCTACCTCTTACTTGACTTTGAATACAGAGCAGCTGATGTGTGACCAGTTTCTTTCTCTTATCCTTTTTTCACATTAATATACCTTACAGCTCCAGGGCTAAGACTAGGATGACCCTTCTCTTTTCTCTAAATACACAACTGCATTCTATCATCTGAGCTACAGAAGGGCTGGCACATAACACAACATGCAGAAATACTTCTCCAGTCTCTAAAAGACCGTACTCTGTTGCTCTCCTTCCCCCACTGCCATCTCTTAGCTGGAAAAGTAGTTTCTGCATCACAAAGGTTTGCCTTAGTGAAGTGCTTACAAAAACGGTATCTAATCAAAGAGTCCTAATGTGAGTAATAACTAACTCTGCTCTTGACCTGCCTTTGATTCGTACCCAGTATAGTCCGTCAAACTACTTTTTAATTCCACTTCATTTCTTCCCAACAGAAGGGTACTGAAATCTTACTTGCTGGTCACTGTGACTGGTCCAAGGATATGCAGAGTGGCCAACAATCATCACCAATACAAAGAAGTAAAAACTAAATATAACTTTTCCTTCATTTGAGTCATAAAGAACCTTACTCAACCTCTTATTCAATAAGCTGTTGTAGCTTATTCAAGCTACAATGTGACAGAAAAATCTCCACTAGGAAGCTTCATGCTTGTGCAACCCATTTCCTTTGGTTGACCCTTTCCAGATGTTTCTTTATCCCAATTATCTCAGATTTTTTTCTGAAGAATTTGAGGAAGCTGCACAACAGGTTAAAACAGCAGCTCCAAGAATCCAATTTGGTAAAACTGATATGACATACCAACCTGATTTGAGAAAAGAATTTAATATTCAAGAGTTTCCTACTGTGAATTTTTTTGTGGATGGCAGCAGGGAAGATCCCATAGACTGCAAAGGTAAACTGTCTCATGCACTGATAAGATAATGATATGTAACAGCAGGATGTACCTATCTATTATGCTGCTGAGAAGAAAAATACAGATACTCAGAGAATATGCAAGGTAGAGAACTGGTTTTGCCCATGATTTAAAATATACAATTACATCTGTACCAATGCAATAACTTTGATTTTAATTAATCTTCCAGGTGTATAGCTGAACATGCTTTGCAATGTTTAGTTCACTTAGCCAAATTAATTGCTGGTGTAATTCCACCAAGTACAGAGAATCTCTGCAAGAAGATGACTTACTCCCATTTACACAATAAACATAAATAAATGAGTTATGCCAAACAAGAATATGGTCCCAACCCTGCTCCATTTGCTCTTCTAGTTCACAGTTAGTGTATCTACGGCAGTAGGCTGGAGCAATACTCTTGTGCATCTGACAACGAATCATGAATTCACAAGGTTCTTTAATATACTTCCTAAGTTCCTAGGTAGACTTCCTACATTCATATACTTCCTACATATACTTCCTAAGCCACGGAAAATAATTTTTCAATTTAGCCATCAGAGGGAGCTCATATGTGGCTCAGAAAACCCATGGAATTATTTGAAGCCTTTTATAAAAAGTTACTAAGCAAAGACAATAGGACTGAGCAATCCTGGAAAATCCAGGCCTTATGGAGACTTTTTCTTTCACTAAAAGTATATACAAGAAAGATGTTTTGTTTTGTTTTTTTTTCCCTAAATTAATGATTTTTTTTCAGAGTTGACAAAAATGGCAGGACTTGGCCAAGCATCTGTCAGTGTGCTCTGAGCAGAGACAGTTGCATCACAAGTTTAATATAGCCAACAAAAAAAGGAACTTGGAGTTTGCCTCCTGAGCCTGTACACAACCAAGTGCTCTGATTTCTTTAACTGCCGAGCCCCCTGTGGCTGCTGCTGCTGAAAGCTAATCTTCAGTATTTTTAGGAACTTGCTCCTCATTGCTACTGAATTTCTTACCAAGTTCCCACCACTTGTGCAAACAGCAGCTTCTGCACACATGCCACAAAAGTGTGATTTGTCACACTAAACTTTTATTAGAGGTGCTGCTACATGACAGCAAAAGCACCTACCTTCAATCTTCGATTGTATCTATAGCATTGACAAGAAAACCTCTTTTAAACCAGTAAACAAATTTGACAGTTTCACTAGTGAGAGCCAGCAAACACAAGAGTATTGGTCACCCTTCAGCACAGAGCTGCTATTTAAGACACGCTATCAAGATACTAGGAAACTGGCTTCTGCTCTGTGATTTGTACAAGATAGCATCAACCATTCAGATGTACCACCAGTAACGACTTAACTACACTTTGTTGACTGGTAAATGCTTATGTACAACAACTAATAAAATCTGACCTATGGCATCTGGAATATTGTGTCTAGTTCTGGGCCCCTCAGTTCAAGAAGGACAGGGACCTGCTGGAGAGAGTCCAGCGCAGGGCAACTAAGATGATTAAGGGAGTGGAGCATCTCCCTTATGAGGAAAGACTGAGGGAGCTGGGTCTCTATAGTTTGGAGAAGAGGGGATTGAGGGGTGACCTTATTAGTGTATATAAATATATAAAGGGGGAGTGTCACGAGGATGGAGCCAGGCTCTTCTCAGTGGCAAACAATGATAGGACAAGGGGCAATGGGTACAAACTGGAACACAAGAGGTTTCACTTAAATTTGAGAAGAAACTTCTTCTCAGTGAGGGTGACAGAACACTGGGACATGCTGCTCAGGGAGATTGTGGAGTCTCCTTCTCTGGAGACATTCAAAACCCACCTGGACACATTCCTGTGTAACCTTATCTAGGTGTTCCTGCTCCGGCAGGGGGATTGGACTAGATGATCTTTTGAGGTCCCTTCCAATCTCTATCATACTGTGATACTGTGATCTGACTTTAAAACCACTGCTAATTGGCAACAGAAAATACGCAGTGACTGCCCAGTGACTTCTTATATGGCTTGGTATATACTTCAGACCACAAAAAAACCCCGGCAGACTGCACTTAAATCAAGAAATTAACTGAAATATTTTATGGCAGAGGGAGTTTTTAAATGGTTGTCCTGCAATGGACAGAGCGTGAAAGCCAAACCCTATGCTTTGTAAAATCACCATTTACAACTCCAAAGCCAGAATCTGGCCAGTAGAAACAAGCTACACAGGCTGTTTAAAGCAACTCAATAGAAAGATTAACCACATGAAAAATATGCTGAGGGGTTGTACCACTGACATAAGCAGCAAGACCTCAAATCTTCATGTGAGATAGCAGAAGTCTAGCACTATGTGGCCACTAGATACTGCTGTGTGCTTTGCTCTGGAGCCTATTCACCCCAGAGCAGATGCCTGCCAGCTTCATCTTAAAAAAACAGTGGTTTAAGCTAGTTGCAGTGCAGCCTGCTGCAAAATGACTTGATGGCAGTAAAATGGTCTGACTCAATTTTGATCTTCTCATAATGCTAAAATGCACAGTACCAGGACTCGCATCTTTGATAATCCACTTGTACTGTACATCTTGACTCTAGCACTTTTCACAGCATACAGACTTTTTCTTTTTCTTACACGTAACTTCCATTAACTCTTTGCTGGACTCAGCTCTGATCCAACAAGGATGTCATACTCACAGAAATGAAAGGGCTACTTTAGAGCTGAGATTTTAATCTCCCAAGACTAAAATGACGGCTCCAATTCCTCTGAAAACATGATAGCTACAGACTTTGAAAGAGACCCAAGATCCCTAACACTCCTGAAAGCTTGAAGAGAACTTACCAGATAAATAGACTGTCATCTCTGGTAGCAGTAATTTGGAACAATCCAGAATTACAGGACAACTTTGACACCTCAGCTTTGTTTCTTGTGTCTAAACTGAACAGTGAAGCTGCAGCACCCCAGAGGAATTTTTACATCTCTAAGCCTATCAGATCCCTTCTGCAGCACTGAAGGAGCAATTCTGACACCTAATTTAATTGAAGAGACAGTTTAATAAAATCTGCAATTGGTTTGAAGCCATTCTGGATTAAACCTGAGGTCAATAGCTCTTTATAGCTGACTGTGATTTTGGGACACAGGAAATCTTGCTGAACTGGTTCTCTACTTGTCTAAATTTCCTCATCTCTATTCTCCATATGTGATTAAGCAGCTAATTGGACATACAGCCATTTACAGAGGTCCCAGAAAACACAGCACTGATCTACCATTAATATTCTACAGTTAGCAATAGTTTAAATAATGACTAGAACTTGAGCTTGAATTGTGATGCCATAGGCCTACCTTGAATTGGTTTTGACCCCAGTCCTAAGAAGCCCAAGTCCATTTGTATTCACCATCCTTCTACACCCCACTACCTCCATCCTGATTGCACAGAAATTTTTGTCATTCGTTTTGATGGTCATTTTAACAATCTTGACTTTCCACAGGAGTCAGGCAAGCCTCAGCCCTTATTACACGGGTGAAAAGAAGAACAGGACCTAGCACTGTTTTAATCAACTCTACTGATGAGGCTGAAGCCATCATAAATGCTGATGATTTAGCAGTGGCTGGCTTTTTTAAGGTAATTCACTGGAAAACTCAAAAGGCTGGTTTGTTTCAACTTTGGGATATACTGCTTGCTATCGTCACCAAAAGCCACACACCCAAAAGACCTAGAACTTGCCTGAAACCTCCAGGCCCTCAGTTTTCTCTTCATTTTCTACTTGGTTTTATCTTCTTCACACTTCTAAATAAGCAGCACAGGCAGAGATAAGAACATCTTGCACCACAGCACTTTTCCCAGGCACAGAGACCTACCACTCTGAGACCAGCTCCTGAGAATGTGATGTGACAGCAGTGTTTGCACATCCCTGGTCACAGCAGACTTTCCTGTATCCTCAGAGAAAGAGCTTCTGCCAAACCATCCCAAATTTGGTGGCTGGTGGGAAGAGGGCGGAACTACTGATCTACATATCCTTACTTAATCCTTTTGTTTGGAAAGGCTCAACCCATTGTTGATGTGGATTATGCTGCTACTGGAGCCTCCAAATGCATAAAGTTGTAATCCTTGCCCAGAGTTGTAACTGAACTAAAAATCTAGGGCTACCTGATCACTGCATTTCTATTCAAACCCAGTGTAAAATCATAGGCATGAACAGTTGCAGGCTGTTTTAGTGAAGGACCGTTCCTTTCCTGCTTAAGTCCATAAAAAAAAAGCAGTAAATATTGTCTAACATACTGGAGTACCTTTTCTTCCTCTTCCCATTTGATGATTTAAACAACTTCAGTAAAACTCAGGGGGCAGAGACAGCTCCATAAATATCAGGCTAACTGTGCATTATAGTTCCTGCCAGCTAAGAAATCTGCATCAATAGGAAGTCATAAAATATTTTACTGTGTATGATCCAACTCATATAGTCCTTTCTCAAGCAAATTCCTACTAATTTCCATAGCAGAATAAAGTTAAGATTTGGGGCTGAATGATACAGAACAGCAGTTAAGTAGGGCAAAATAAATTTTAACTGTAAAGGCATGAAGTCAGAAGGGAGCAAAATAGGAATATTTTTTCCCTGCTTCTCAATTTGTCCTTGAAATCTTTCATATCTGAAACATTCAATCAAGGATTTTCTATAACTAAAGAGACTTCTATTGTGGTATCTCTCTGCCTAGTTAAAAGCACAGTGTCTGGACTTACACCTCAGCTGATAAGGTCCCAAGTGTGCTGGCTACAGTGGATAGTCCAAGTCTTAAGGATGTGGAAAACAGGATTCATTACCAAATGCCTCATAGTAACAGAGCCAGTGAACATGCACAGCATAATAGGACAAACTGTGAAAATGCTCAGAGTGCCCAGAATTTTGCTTTGCAGCAATCTGCCTGAAGTCGTTTATGAAGGAAGTCAGTTTCCCACTGCTGGGGCAGGTTGAGAAGCCCTTGCTATTGCAGTGATATCGGTGAGCTCCCAGAACCATGCTGATAGCAGATACTGCCTGCAGATGTGTTTGACTTGACTCCATGATTTCACTCTGAGGATGAAATGACAATAGATGAGCATGAGTTAGGTCATGTCAGAAATTTAATGGGTGGAAGCCAACAAAATAGCATCCAAGTAAATAAAGAGCTGTATTTGGCCTTCTATTAGTCACAGATTGTTCACAAATGTGAGTGCCAGAATGATCTGGGAGGACTCAGCATATAAATTACTATTCATCTAGCATGAAATAATTGTCTGATTAAATCAAATCTGGAAGTGCTGTTGCCTTTCATCATGCTTATTTACTATTAGTCTGAGGGTGGACAGCACAGTGGCTATTTGACAGATGTAGGAGTCAAGGTCCCTGCCTTGAAGAGCACTCAGTCAAAACACCAAACACACCAGTCAGGTCCTCTCTCAAGCAGAGAGCCCTCCTCTCTAATCCATCACATCGTGCCAGCTGTACAGACGAGCTGCAGCAGGGGAGCTGCTGTTGGCATGATCTTCCCCCATCTGCAGACGCTTTTGCAGAGTGTGGAAATGCCAGGGGACTGCTGGGCAGATGAGGTTAGTGTAAGAAGGACACAGGGAACCATACACCATCTATACTGACCAAGGCCAGCCAGCACTCACTGGAAAGGTGAAGGCAGAAGCAGTGTCACAGCATTCCTAGGATCTCCCCTGTTGTAAAGATCTCTGCTTGAAGGTAATTACGGCAAGTTATACCCACTTCACAATTACGTTCTCCTCTCTACCTAACAAGCCTTTAGCAGCCTGCCTCACTAACAGCTCTCATTTCTACACATCCTAAGAGGATGCAGGACACAGTCTTAATACATATTCTTTCTGGGACTAGGAACTTCACAGTGACAGTGTGGAAGTTTTCTGTGAGACAGCTATAGATGTGCCAGAGACACCTTTTGGGATGACAGCCAGTGAGGATGTCTGTGCTAATTACAGCATCCAAAAGAACACCCTTGTTATATTTAAGAAGATAGGAGTACAAAAGCCTAGGAGGCAAGGTACAGTAGCTACCATAGCAGCTTTAGATTATGGAAAGGCAGTTTGGGAATTTTTCAAGTTAAATAATTTCCTACTTGAAACTCAAAAAGCTTATCACAAAAAATATCACATGTACAGACAAGAGTGACATGTAAAAGCAAACAGCAACCTTTGGACAACTGATGTCTTCAACATGTTTGCCTATATTCAGGCTCCTAATTTATACTTAGGCATCTTAATAAAAAACCTTTATTTTTCAGCCCACATTCTGATCAACACATGCTGCCAGGTTCAGTGAGTTTTGCAGACATTCACCTCTTTTCCTTTGTTGATTTTGACCAGGAATCTTCTTTCAGTCCACAAAAGAGGTGTCCAACAAGAAGAATAAAACTACACAGAAGTAGCACCAACGTTTAGGCTATGAACTAGTCAGACCAAGGACATCCTCAGTGAGTGTATGTTACAGCATATATATAGAACAGATCTTTCAGTATGTTAAGATTACCAGGCAAATTAAAGTTGTCAGATGTACCTTGAATTTTAGCTATAATCTTGTTCTGTAATCTAGCTGTGACATTCATTTTACAAGTTATGGAATTCCAGTTACTGAGGATCATAAACCAGTAAAGCTGAGAACAACATTTTAGAGTAAAGACTGTCTCTTTGCAGATGTAGTCAATGAGGGCAACAACCTCACAAACTTCACTATTTGTCCAAGGGAAAACCTGTGCATAATGAAGTGCTGGAAGATGGCAGACAGAACAACTGGATCTAATGAGGCTAATAAAAACCTTTACCCTGGATTTGGTCACTGAATATAATTTTGAGGTATGCGTATTTCATTGTATTAACAAAGCCACAGGAGAAAGACAAGGAAGACAAGAACCCAAGCTGAAAAAGACTTAGGGAGCTATTCTCCTCCTTAGTATTTGAGAATTTTGTTTGCTTGTTTACTAGGCTAGCCCTAAACACACCTAGAAACACCAGCAGAACCCAAGAGGCAGCTCTTGGTCTAATCCATGCCAAAGTATGCTTCCCTTTGGCAAGATGTTTCTCAGAAGAGGAATGGCTGGCCAAACAGCAAACTTGCCTGAGTACACAAACACCCTCCTGTGGAGCCGACATGAAGGCCTGAGCTGCTTCTGCAGTAACTGCATCAGGTTGGAGGTTGGAAGGTTTTCAATTCTTCTACTCCCATGCAGCAAACAGGTCCTCTTGGCCAAGGCGAGGAAGAAAGAAGCCAGCAATAATTTTTGTTAGTGCAGATATAAAGGGAAAGACATGGAAATCATGGAAATACCTGCTTACCAGGGGTACATCCCACTGCCTTTGATCATGGTGGGGTGGCATGAGAGGAAGGGCAACTCTATGCAGGGAAGGAGATGTAAGCTGCTGATGCCACTCAGAAATTCAGGAAGTACCCCAACCAGCTCCAGCTCCCACAGCTGCTGCAGCTGGGCCTTCCTGGGTAACAATGCTTTTTACTTCAAGCACATCTTTAGCGTTAATTCTTCAGTGTGTGTTAAACAGGAGGTCAGCCTGGCAGATCACAACAGTCCCTTCTGACTGTAAAAATCTATGAATAACAATGAGGAACAGAGAAAACACTCAGCAGCTGCTGATTTTTCTCACTTTATCTTCTTTAAAACAATGAAAAAAACCCAACAGTTATGGAAATGATTAGGAACTGAGTCTTAAAAAGTAAAATTTGCAATAGCATGACTAAATGACACTGATACGCTGAGCCCCTTATTCACTGTTCTGCTTACAAAGAGTGGAACAGATGTTGAGTCTTTTGTTTCCCAGATATCTGAGAAGACTTTTGATGTCCCTGTTGAAAATCACATCCTGCTGTTTGCCCCAATGAACTTGGAGACGTTCAGTGCAATTTACGAGAACTACAAGTCTGCTGCTGTGGAATTTACAGGGAAAGTTTGTAATGCTGAATTCCTGCTTTGCAAATATGAATGCCAAATGATCAATGGAAAACCATTCACCAATGTTACTGGTAAAAGTACACTGCTGTCAGTTCATCTTCTATGCCTACCAGATCATTTTAAAACAGTATCAGCAACTATTCTTTAGATGTTAGGGGGACAAGCTGAAAAAGAACCTTCACTTGAAAATGATTCTTTAAAATGCAACAACCACATAAACCAACACTTAATTCCAGCTGCTCCCAATAAAATCATTTCTGATATTGCAAATACAACTTTGTAGGAGCAACTTCCAACCACAGATAGTTTTAGCAATGTTGTGGCAATTTCTGCCACCATCACATTAGTAAAGACATTGGATGACAGGCGTTTCAGCTCTTTTGTCCTGTTAAGATTTATTAGGCAGAGCAATAAAAGTTTTGAGGGATAATTTGGAAGCGTTACTAAAATACGTGATAGCAAACCACTGCAAATGACAGAGGTAAAAGCTTTGTTCCTTTTGGCTGCTTTAGCACTTGTTATTAACTAGGATCAAGGTACGATGAAGTCCACAGAACTGATGGCTGTTGGTCTGAGACCAAACAACATACAATTCCTTGTTCTACGCAATTCCTTGCATTTAATGTCAGATCCTAACCCACTGTCAAGCTCCACGGGCCACTTCTCTAAAATGGCTAAACCAAAGCTGGAAGACTCAACCAGATGCACAACTCTTTCTTATCAGATAATGTTTGTCTTGGTGGATTCTAATGAACCAAGGAAAGGAAGAGTTTTTGAGTACTTTCGCATCAGGGAGGTTGACATTCCTGCCTTGAGAAGCCTAAATCTGACACGTGAGGCAATGTATAAAACGCTGGCAAATGAGGTGACTGTGGAGAATCTGAAGGAAGTCTGCCAGAGCTACCTAAATGGAAAAGCAAAGGTATGCCCACTACTAATGAGACATCCCTTTACTACCTCAGCTAAAACACTGACAAATTTGCAAAACATCCTTTTTTAAATGATAACAATGTGCTGTTCTGATCACCAGTTTAGTAATTTACTCTCCTTTCAAAGTACTCATCTACAGCTGCTGAGAGAGCTTTCTTCTGTATTTAACAACTGATGTGAACTACAGATTTCTCGTCCTCCTGTGTAAAAACTGGATAAATCATTTGTCGAACAATGTTCTAGTTGGTTTCAGCTGATGTACTTTAGTGGCTTAAAAACCTCAAACTCCCTATGTCTTGATCCTGCCAATACAATAATGGAGCTATTTAATTCCCTTAGTTGGGAGAGATGCAAACAATGACTGCAACAGATTCTGAGGACTTGGAGAAGTCCAATAAATAGAAAATTGAGTTTCAGAATGGAGTAAGATTTGGTATTTGTTGTAAGTGAACTCAGAATGAATTTGCACAAGGAGAATCATTCCCAATGGTAAACTCAGTATTTGTTATCATAATGAAGCATCACTCTCCACACTCACAAGAAAAATACATTAAAATGTTCTGTTTATTCAGTGCTCTTCAGAGTGATGTACTTTTGCTTCCATCATGAGGAGAAAAGATGAAATAGTCCATCTGACAGCAGACAGAATTTAAGAGATGAGAGTAGTAGATCCTGATTTCAATGTTGGAGGGGGGGCAGAAGGACAGAAGAGGTGGGGATGTTCTCTCTTCTCCACTAAGATTTACCTGAGTGACAAACTCCCAGCAGGGAACAGCTTCCATGGGGAATGTATGTCTTTCTACTACTGTGCTGGCGTGTAAAAGAAAAGAAATTGCTAGGTAATATACTGTAAATTGTAGCAGTTCTGTGAGGACTGTCACTGGTGGAAAAGGCAGAGATTTAAACAGCAATGCACAATGTCATGTGTGTTTTACATCACTTTTGAAAGCCAACAATAGGTAAGCTTTTCAGTAGTCTAGCTTCTGAACACTGGGCAAAAATAATTCAGTACAATGAATGCAAACATGTTTCAAAGGGTCATTTTCAGACTGTGTACTATGGAGTCTGTATTCAAGAGAGGGATGAGTAATTCTGAGTCCCAATTACACATGGGTGCAAGACCTCAGCTGCCTGCTGAAGGTAGAGAAGGTACTAGCACACGAAGGCTGGCTCCACACAGTAATAGTGCACACTAGGTCGAGAAATGTCCCACTGGTCTCACAGTAACTTGAGCTAGAGTACACTTCCTCTATGCTCCTTGCTCTTTCACAGAAGTGTTTCTGTTCCTGCTTAGCTAGACCTCTCCAGTGAGTAAATTCCAGAGGACTGGAACAAGATGCCTGTCAAAGTGCCTGTTGGGAAGAATTTTAACAGGATTGTCTTTGATAAGACCAGGAATGTGTTTGTTATGGTTTTTAAGTGTTATTGTTGTATTCAGGTTTTAAGTTGCTTTAACATGATCAGTCTGAAGTGAAAAACAAAAGCCCATGCTTACGTACTAAACTCATCTTCACACTTTACAGGAGCTGAGCTTCATGAATTTTCATTGTCTGCTGAAAGCATTGAAGCAAAAATATGTCATATCTATGGAAACACTGTGATACCTTTGCTGACTTAGGGCTGTACTGAATAACACTGGCTCCCTTAAATAAATATTTGTCAAGGCCATATCAAATGTCAGTGCTGAAAGACAAAATGACACCAGAGCATCATGTTATACAACAGAACATTACAGGGTGCTGTACAGCATGAGTCAGTCTGTCTTCCAAGGTCAGAGGGGGAGCTAAATGAGGTTGTCAGGTTATCATGTTCTAGGATTAAATCCCAGAGAGGAATTGTGGTTTAGCAAATTGTAACTCCTTTTTGCTCCTCTTCCTTCAAGGGAAGTGGCTTTCCTGCTTGACTCTTCCCAGTGAGAAACCAATGCCCTATCTCTGTACCAGACACCAGGGATTAGTTTGTGCCTTAATTACTTCAGTAGAGCAAACATACAGCATTGACAACGACAAGTAGCTGTACTACCTGGAATTCTAAAGTTCTTAAAGATAGTATGTTCCTGCAATCCTCCGTGTTGGCTGCAGCCATTTAATTCATGCAAGTCATCTTTACATTGCAGTATCATGAATAGACTGATCTAGGCAAGGATTGAACCAAGTCTGCTGGAAATGAAAGGCTGATAAACGGGATAAATGGGATGTAGCGTATTCAGGAAAGTTTAATTCCATCCAAACTGAGTATGAGCACTGTTCTCATGGTTGAAGAACTGTGACCATGTTATATGCTATTTAAGGGGACACTGTGTTCTCAGCAGTCTGCCTTTTTGTTAACCAGCATGCATGCAGCGCTCAGAGTCAAAACAGTGCCATAGCTCAAACTTCTCCTTTTAATGTAAATATAGCATAGTTTATTAACATGGTTAATTTTAGTACACAGATAGCATTTTGTGCTTCTGGCAAGCATTTCACCACAGGAATGATGCAAAACTTACTTAGGTTGCATTGGTCATCTGGCACATCCCTCCAGCAAAGCCATATGGCAAGGGTTGTGTGTTTGTTATAGTCATAAAAAACCTAAAAAGAGCTAAAGCAGCGCTGCTGTCAGAAATGCATTAGTGAACAGGTAGTAATCACTCCATGAAAACTCATGAAACTCATGAAGGGGAATGATTTCAAGTAGAGATTGACCACAGCTGAAATCCAAACCCCTGTTAATTTAAAGAGCTAAATGTGTCCCAGCGATTGCACCAGCGCATGCTCTCTGCCAGACTCTATCCTTCTACTTTTAATTTTGCAGATGCCCCTTGGTCCTATGACTGCAGAAAATTCCTGCCAATCTGGGATGAATTAGGAGAGCGCTGTGAAAGTTGCACAGACATAATCATTGCAAAGAAAGATGTCACAGCAAACAACATCCTGTTCATTGGATTAGTTCGCTATCCATTCTTCAGACTATTTCCTGCTGGACCAGACTACCAGGTGAGAAGCTGTCAGGGAAGAACACAGAGACACTGAGGAGGGATGTGTGTGTCTGTCTGCATGTGCCTGTCATGGTGAGGAGCTCTTTAAGCAAGCAATCTCTGGTCCTTACCTACTCAACATTGGATTCATTGCTGTCAAGTATGTGAATTAGAGAAGTCTTTCTGTCGTTTTTTCCTTTGTAGGAGGCTGTGGCAAAAGCCCATGCATTATTTACCAACCTGGACTTGCAAGTCATTACAACCTTACGTTCTGCTGTTGAACAATCTCCAATCTGCCTGTTGGGTTCCAGCAACAGTCTCAACTCAGAGTGAATTCACAGATACCTCCTCATCACTCCAGTGTCTTTCTACTTCAAACCATGAGTAGAGATGTACTGTTACAGAACTACTCTGCCATGGTTGTTTCCAGAGCAGGTATGACTATACCCTCTAAAATGCTGGTGCTGCTCTTGATACCCTCTGTATTTTCACAAAATCCAAATCCCAGACTTTCTTCTATATACTTATGCCAGTAATTTTACTTCATTCCAGCATCACAGTCTCAATTTGGAATAAATATTTGTTATTAAGACCAATGATCTGTACAATATGCTACCTATCAGCTACAGCTATCAGCTTTGTTATACAATAATCAGAAAATGCTGCAGAAAGGCAAAGAAAAATATTAGTTACATTTGTCAATCTACATAACCTAATTAAAAAGAAAATATCTCTGAAGCAAAAAAAAAAATCAATGCTAAGACACTGTTATAATTAAGACATTACTAAGCTTTTCATTTTTCTTCTTAGTCCTAAACTTAAATTAAATTCTAAGACATTTGCCCATGTCCTCATTTAATCTTTGAGGGAGAGATTTTCCTCTATGATGTGCATGTACAGCTCCTAATAAGTTTAACTGCAGTCCTGCACACTCACACCATGTTTAGTCTTTATGCAGGAAAGCAGGAACCCAGTAAATGCTCATAATAAATGTCAGTTTGTCAAGAAATGTCAGTAACAATTTTCGTTATCTATTAAGGAATTGTTGCATATGTACAATACCACAAAATCAACGAGTATTTGAAATCTCACACTCTTCCTTGTGGACCATAGTTTTTATACTAGTTCCCTCCACTTCAGGATTTTAAATTGGGCATGACTACCAGTGCAGAGATGTCTGACTCTGGCCTTCTTTTGGCACTATACGAACAGCTGGCCACATCCATCTTTACTCACTACAGGAAATCATAAATGACCTGAGACACACTCAAGCTGTTAACACACAGTCAATGCAGCAGTTATATCTCACTCAACCAGCAGTTATACTGGGAATTCTTCCACATATACTTGTCCTTTTCTGGAAGGTAACCAAAGTCAGAGCACAGGATACAAATGTAGTATAACACCATTGTCGTGGGTTAAGGAGACTCTAGAAGGCACATAAAATGCACATAAAGAAGTCTGAACCTGCTCCTGGTAAACAAAGGGAAATGCAGCTAACATGACCCAAAGATGTTTTACAGAACTGGATTAAGTTCTCTGGCCACCAGAGACACCCTTACACCTCCTTAGAGGCAAAGCCATGTGCAGAACACATTATTATGCAGTGTCTTCAAAGCCCTCTCACCTGATGAGATCGTAGACAATATCATCCTTTCGACAGGAGTATCTGCTAGGTCTCCAGGCTATGAACTGTCTGTGGACTGTCACTCTTAAATTTGTTTAAGAATAGGCTCAACTTTTCCTGAAGTTAATGACAAATCACCCTCTCAATTTCAGTGGATGCAAAACTAGATGCACAACATTTTAAAATCAGAGCCAGTCCAGGTTAACTGGAGTTCAGTGGAGTTGCATGAGCTAAGACATCTAGATCTATAGTTGGGTGTTTAAGCACGTGTCCAGTTTTCCAAAGCACTGAGTTTCTAAGCTGAGGAACAGTTACAGCCAGAGCTGAAGGAACAAGAGAGGGAATCTGAATTACATGGAGGAGGGAGTGACCAGGCATCATCTGAGCTCCATCTGTGAAGCTGACGAACAACTCATCCACTGCATCATCCACTCCAAATGTAAGAGAAAAACATGCAGACAGATTTAAGATTATTCTATTTGTTTCTATGGATTAAGTGAGAAAAATAACATTTACATACTCTTACGTGCAACCACTCTATTAAGAAGTGTTGACACACACCCTCAGTAACCAGTGCAGGGGTGAGCTGCTTCTCTAGCTTTACAGGACATTGGGCTCTGAGAAACTGCTGTTTCAGCTGACATACTTCTTATTACAAGAGAACACCTAACTGAATGGAAACATCAAACCTGTGCATACTTATAGTGAATTCAACAGAGAATGGAGGTGTTTTGTTAACAGTCCTTTGAACTCTCATCAAGTGTAAGACTAACTAAAGTAGCACAGCACTATTCGTCTCAGTGGGAATAAGTGAGCTTAACCCAAGCAAGAATAGGTATCTGCCTATTCTAGATATACTTAGGTAACAGCAGACACTTCCCAGTGTCATGCACATGAGCTTCTACAATTTTTTGTTAGAAGGCTTGTGCAAGATCTTTTCATACTTCCAGAGAGCAAAGGTATTTGGGGGGTGGAGTGGTGGATCTTTAAAATACAGTATGGTGCTTAGACCTACCCAGACCATTTAAACCTCTAAACTGAAAGTGCTTCTTCCATTAAAATTCCTCAAAAGAAAATCCTCAGTAAAACCCCAACTTAACATGAAGTGTAAGAAAATTAATATCACTGCTCATCATCATCTTGCTCTTTCAAGCTGGGCAACAGCTGATACTTCTGGACTGTGTATTTCCAAGCTTTTTCAGAAACTCTATTTCCATTAAAATCTTTAGCCAGCACTGAATATCATGGCTGGACAATTGAAAGACTGTTCTTCAAACTATCTTTCAAGTGCTTACTGTTAAACACAAAAAGACACTGGTGTCTGGTATTGGTATTATACAATAATGGTTATGGTTTTGATATAAATTCTTTCCTTCTGAGGGACATACATCTATTTCTTCTTCACACTTGAGTTTCAGACAACATTGGAACACGCTGTGCCTCTGCCCTTGCCTTCTAAACTAAGCACAAAAGTCTAGAGTTCAGTCAGTCCAAAGAACTGAAATTCGGCATCTGATTATGGCATTATTTCCAGCATTTTGTGTACAGAGTTAATACTTAACCTTAAAACTCTTTCAGGAGGTGGCCTATGCTGGGGAGCACACCTTGGAGGCATTTTCTGAATGAAGAACAAAGCAAGACAAAAGCAGAAGCAGGAGAGAAGGTAAGGCATTTGATCCAGACACTGACTGATCTGCTGTGTAATCCAAGGCATGTCCACACCTTGTACAGGTATGGCTGAACTGCCTATAGCACAGCCACATGTATGGGCTTCAGCCACTGTGTCTGTCAATGATTGGGTGGTTCTTACCAGCTTTTAGCTGGTTCCAAGCTGACTAGCTTGGCATGACCATGTTAGCTGCAGTCATGTATCACTGCCTGACAGGCACACACCCACTCACATCCTTGTTTTCATCACACAAAAACTGCTTCTCCCACTCTCATGTCATCACTGAATCACTGCATTACCACTCTGATACTAAGTAGTGCATGGCATAAAGGAATCTGCACTTTAACAAGTGTAAGCAAAACTTCATCAGGATTTTGGAGTCGTTGGAGTGGTTCAAACATCCATTGCCTTCCTCATCCTGCTACATTCAGTGCGGCTTCTCTTCTTCATGAAGCAAGGGCACAACAGAGAGCAGATACTGTCCCCTCTCTTGGCAGTCTGGTTATGATTATTGTCCAATTCCTCAACCCCTACTCATCCCCTGTAAATCAGAACAGATAAGCATTAGCTGTCCCAGATCAGCCTAGGATGTTCCCCAATCCCAGACACTTCACTGCAAAAAGACGTATGTATGTGAACAGTATGATCAACCTCCACACAGATAGCTCCAAGCAACAGAAAAAACTTGACACATAAGATGGAGACACTGTCTGTCCAGTATAAGGATCATGGGCCCATTCTGCCTGGAAGTGAAGTAGATCCACAGGATAACAAATGCTCTTTTCAACCAGCAGGGAAACAGTTTTGAGTTTGCAGACTTATTTCCACCAGAGGCTTTGCTTTGCTCCGGAATTCACTGCTCAAATAGGGGGTTACAAATGGAGAGAGATAACACTAATAGTGGGATAGTTAAGTCTGCAGTGAAGGATGAGATATTGAGCTCTGCCCAGTCATTGCACAATTCCATTTTCCAATACTCAGCCTACATTTGGTGTCTGCTCCTGTTGCATGTTCTTTAGTGATGTGTTTCAAGCCCTACACAGCCTTTTAGATACAATGTCCAAGCTGTATATATTCTGTCATCTCTTCTTCATGCTTTATTTCATATGACAGAATAAGTTAAAAGGCCAGTTTAATGCATTAACACATTTTAGCAACAGCTGCACTACTTCTGACCTCATTAACAAGTCTTCAAGTTTCTTGGTTGGATAGATGAAAATCTGCATTTCATATAATCCATTTTTTTAGGGGGGGAGCTAAGTAAACAATTATTAGAGCAATTCTTTTTGCAATAAGCAGCTTAGCTCTTGCATTTCCTTTTATAAAAGGATCCTTTGGGAGGAATCAAAGAGGACTCAGCCAAAAAGAAACTGTAATAATGGAGAAAGAAGTTTAGTAGCACAAAGAGCAAAATTCTGAGGATTGTGGGGAATCCTTCCTAGAAGGAACCCACTGGAAGAATGAGTCACCTCAAGTGAACACAGAGCTGAATAAAAAAATAAAACATTCAGAATCAACGGCTCATTATGTGTGACTGCTCTTCTGAATCCAGTTTAACTCCTAGTTTTACTGGGATCAGTAGCATCGGTTCTTAATCTATTCTCAATTTTGCTCAAACGATGCCTTTATTATTGATAAAACTGCTCTCAGTTTGGAAGGTGCATGTGCCATGGCAAACCGATCAAGATATAAAACTTATTTCTGAGCAAAATTTGCTACAGGTTTGCAACCAGTTGCTTTGCAATGTACCCTATGACAGCCCTGTTGTTTTCAAAGGAGATTAAAAGCTCACAGAAAGATGGGAATCACATTACAAAGAGCATTTCTAAAGTAATTTTTCAAAGTAATAATTGAAGATGAGGGCTACGCCCAAAGGGGCACCAAAGGGCGGTTTGTGATTTTTTTATTATCAAGCAGTAAAAAATTCAAAAATAAAGATTTCATTTAATTCCAGTAAGAAAAAGATCATATCTAATAAACAAAGTCACAGGTATGATTCACAGTTCAGTTATGTTAGGTCCCTTAACCATCCTACAT